GTTGCGGCCTTGGCCGCCTTACAGCATTGTGTAGAAGGCTTTAGGCTGTCTGCAACCCAAACTCCGAGATCTTTCTGAGTTTCTGCTTCTCGGAGTGGCATTCCGTTCAGATGGTATTGCCGCGTACTAGGGCTCTGATTTCCGAGGCGCAGAATGGTGCATTTGTTCAAATTGAAGGACAAGAGCCATCTGCGGGACCACTCGTCCAATCGACAAAGATTTTCTTGGAAGTTGGTCTCATCGGCAGCATTCTGGATGACTTTCCAGATTTTTATGTCGTCCGCAAACATGGCGTAATCACAGTCCAACCCATCCACACAATCATTGATGAACAAGAGAAAGAGGGTTGGTCTGAGCACCGAGCCTTGTGGGACCCCACTCTCTATGAATGTGCACCTTGATTGCTGTTGTTCTACGCAGACAATTTGGGAGCGGCCGACAAGGAAATTTTCGATCCATTTGAGAAGTTTGCCACCGATGCCCATAATTCTCAACTTGTGTAGGAGACGCTGGTGCGGAACACTGTCAAACGCCTTCCGAAAATCAATATAGGCAACATGCACGGTGTGTTTTGCGTCCAGTGCTCGTGTCCAACTTTGCATTGTGTATAGCAAGTTCGTGACACATGATCTTCCCCTACGGAAACCATATTGTGCATTGGACAAGAGGTTTTAGGTTTCCAAGTAAGCCATCAACTCCTTTTTGATGGTTTTCTCCATCACTTTGCAGCAGATTGATGTCAGACTGAGGGGTCTGTAGTTTGTCGCCAGAGCACGACTACCGCTTTTGTAAAGGGGTGTAATGTGGGCCGTCTTCCAGTCTGTGGGAAGAATTCCAGCATCAAACGATTTCTGGCACAGAAAAGATAGTGGCTTGGCCAGCTGTTGGGCAAGCTCAAAGAGAAGCTTTGTTGGGATCTCGTCCGTACCGGGAGATTTACATTCCTTCAAGCTTTTCAGTTCTTCCAAAATCGCTTCTTCTCGAAACACAATATTTTCGATAGTGTAATCTCTCATGTTCTCAGAATTAGATGGGGTAAAGTCCGCTTCTCTTGTGAAAACGGATCGGAAAAATTGAGAAAATTGCTCGGCCTTATTTGTACTGTCCGATATCTCCAAGCCGTCATCACCCCTCATAACAGGAATGGGATTCCTGTTACGTGTGCTTTTCCGCAAATAGCTGTAGAGAAATTTCGGATTTTTAACGGTTTGGTAGAGCAAATTACTCTCAAAATCTCGTCGCCTCTTGAAAATCAGACTTTTCACCTTATTTCTTTGAACTTTGTATTCTGTAAACGCTGCATCTTTGTTGTTCTTGCGAAATTTCTTCCATAACCTTTCCTTCTTGTTGATCTCTTTTTTAGCCCTCGTGTTAGCCACTGAGGGCGGTTGGATATCCTAGGCTTTGATAAGGGACGGGGGTTCTTCATTAGATGCAGTAAACGATCCTTGAATAAATTCCAGTCCTCGTTAACGTTTCCGGAGAAGAGAACATCCCAGTCTATTTGTGATACCTCAGCTCTCATTTGGCGAAAGTCCCCTTTCCATATATTTGGCCTCGTATTGTCTTTTGTACACGGTCCAGAATACAGCAAGTACTCCCATAAAAGCACTGCATGATCACTTCGGCCGAGCGGGGGTAGGTAGTACACCTCGTCTATACTGTCAGGATCTTTGGTAAAAACGAGGTCCAGACAACTGGCCTGTTGCCCTCCACGAGCTCTAGTTGGAAACAGGGCACGTTGCGTGAGTAGAGCTTCTAGGGTTGTCTTTAGCAGATGGTAATCGAAGGTATTCATCGAGCACTTCGCATGCATATCGCTCCATTGAATGCAGGGTGCATTAAAATCCCCCATGAGAACAACGTCTGGTCGGCTGGCGATCTCTTTTATGCTTTCAAGTAGACAAGTATCTGGGTCGGAACCATAAAAAACATCATCAACTATATCTTTATTCTTCAGGAGTTTTTTTTCACTGCTGGTCGGATTTGTGTTTAATCGCTTCCCTTGACAATGCCTGTAAACTGGCATTTAATAAATTAAATTAAATTAAATTAATGGCAGTGCATTCAGCGACTTCATTAAGAACAGGGCATGCAATCTTTGAGTTCGGATAAGTTCGTTTTTTAAATTTCGCTAGTGACAAATTCATTTAACAGAATATTATTTTAATATTTTGGGATCGCGACCTCAGTTCTAAAGGATTATTTAAAATCCGAAATAATATTCATTTGCATTTGCGGTTTTATAGTGGTTTGTTTGGGGTAATAGGCGCTACCCTTGCCGCCCCTACTAAAAGCAGTAGGTGTCAATACTCAAACAAACATGTCACTAAAATGTTGTCAGCAACATATGCGTTTACAAAAATAATGTATTTTGGCGCTAGACTGCAGTTTTAACGCCCACCATCGTTTGCAGAATACGGACTGACCCCTAAATGGTTATTTCCATGTACAGTGAAAATTACAAATGCAAATATACACAATCAGCACAAAATATCGTCAGTTGTGTAGCTTGCAGGAATAATTTGCATCAAACGCGCAGGGATGCGATATATAGGGAATAAAATCG